AGGGAAATTTTTTTGAAAAGAAATGGAAAAAAATTCAGGGAAAGAATTAACGAAAATTCCAGGAAAGAAACGAAAAAAAATCCAAGGGAGAACCGAATCCCAAAGGAAAAAGACCGGAAATCAAAAGGAAAAGGAACAAAGAAACCGGAACATGAAAGGACGAATCAAAAATGAAAAAGAAACAAGAAACGAAAAAATTCATGAAAGAACGAATATCAGGAAAGACCGAAATCAGGAAGACCGAATCGGAAGCGAACAAGGAAGGAACCGAAATTCAGGAAGACGAAATCAGGAAGGAACCGAATCAGGAAAGAACGGAATCATGAAAGACGAAATCCCAATGAAGACGAATCAGGAAAAGACGAATCATGAAAGAACGAAATCATGGAAAGACCGACATCAAAATGAAGCCGAAATCAGGAAGACAAAGACGAAAAATTATGAAGACAAATCATGAAGACGAATCATGAAAGACGAATCATGAAGACGGAAAATCATGAAAGACGAATCATGAAAGAACGATCAATGAAGACGAATATGAAGACGAAAGAAGACGAATCATGGAAGACGAATCAAAGGAAGACAGGAAAAATCATGAAGACGAATCATGAAAGACAGAATTCATGAAGACGAAATCGAATCAATGAAGAACCGAAAAATCATGAAGACGAATCATGAAAGCGAATTCAATGAAGACGAATCAATGAAGAAATCAATGGAAGACGAATCAGAAGATGAATCATGAAGAACGATCATGAAGACGAATCAGGAAGACGAATCAGAAGACAAAATGAAGCGAATCATGAAGACGAATCATGAAGAACGAATCATGAAGACGAATCATGAAGACGAATCAGGAAGACGAAATCATGAAGAACGAATCGTGGGAAGGAAGACAAGACGAATCATGAAGACGAATCATGAAGACGAATCATGAAGACGAATCAGGAAGACGAATCATGAAGACGGAATCATGAAGAAGAATCATGAAGACAAGAAGACGAATTCATGAAGACGAATCATGAAGACGAATCAAATGAAGACGAATCAGAGACAATTTAGAAGACGAATCAAGACGAATCATGAATGACGAATGACGAATCGGAAGACGACGAATCAGATGAAGACGATTCATCGAATGAAACGAAATCATGAAGACGAAGAAGACGAATCATGAAGACAAGACGATCAGGACGAATTGATGAAGACGAATCATCAGGAAGACGAATCAAGGAAGACGAATCATGAAGACGACATGAAGACGAATCATGAAGAAAGAATGGAAGTTCGAAATCATGAAGACGAATCATGAAGACGAATCAATGAAGACGAATCATGAAGACGAATCAGAAGACGAATCAGGAAAGACGAATCAGGAAGACGAATCAGGAAGACGAATCAGAAGACGAATTATGAAGAAATCATGGAAGACGAATCAGGAAGACGAATCAGAAGACGAATCATGAAGACGAATCATGACAAGACGAATCATGAAGACGAATCATGAAGACGAATTATGAAGACAAATCAGGACCGAGGAAGACGAATCAGGAAGACGAATCTGAGACCGAATCAGGAAGACGAATCATGAAGAAAGAATCAGAAGACAATCAGGAAGACGAATCAGGAAGACGAATCAGGAAGCGAATTCAGGAAGACGAATCAGGAAGACGAATCAGGAAGACGAATCATGAAGACGAATCAGGAAGACGAATCTGAAGACGAATCATGAAGACGATCATGACGAATCAGGAAGACGTAATCAGGAAGACGAATCAGGAGAACGAATCAGGAAAGACGATCAGGAGACGATCAGGAGACGGAAGATGAAGACGAATCAAGGAAGACGGAAGAATCTGAAGACGAATCATGAAGACGATTCATGAAGACGAATCATGAAGACGAATCATGGAACTGAATCATGAAGACGATCATGAAGACGAACCATGAAGACGAATCAGGAAGACGATCAAATTATGAAGACGAATTCATGAGACGAATCATGGAAGACGAAATCAGGAAGACGAAATCAGGAAGAGAAGGAACGAAACAGTGAAGACGAATCATGAAGACGAATCAGAAGACGAATCAGGAAGACGAATCAGGAAGAACGAATCAGGAAGGACGAATCAGGAAGACGGAATCAGGAGGACGAACACGAATCATGAAGACGAATATGAAGACAGAATTCAGAGGGAAGACGAATCAGGAAAGACGAATGCAAGGAAGACGAATCAGGAAGACGAATCAGGAAGACGAATCATGAAGACGAATTATGAAGACGAATCATGAAGACGAATTCATGAAGACGAATCAGGAAGAAGACGAATCAGGAAGAGACGAATCAGGAAGACGAAATCATGGAAGACGAATCATGAAGAAGAATCATGAAGACGAATCAGGAAGACGATCATCAGGAAAGACGAATCGCGAGAGAGAGAGATCAGGAAGACGAATCAAGAAGACGAATCGGAAAGATCGAATCAATGAAGACGAATCATGAAGACGAATCTGACATTCATGAAGACGAAATCATGAAGAAATGAGGAGACGATCATGAAAGACGAGAAGACGAATCAGGAAGACGATAGGAAGACGAATCAGGAAGACGAATCAGGAAGACGAATGAAGACGAATCAGTGAAGACGAATCAGGAATGAAGACCGAATCATGAAACCAGACGATTCATGAAGAGAATCATGAAGGACGAATCAGGAAGACGAATCAGGAAGACGAATCAATGAAACGAATCAGGAAGACGAAGATGAAGACGATCATGAAGACGAATCA